TGGTGGGTGCTTTGGGAGGAACGGTTGGTGAAAGGGCTGGAGGGAGGCAGCATGGCTGGCTTTGTAGGAATAGGCCTTGGGTTACTGCTGGTAATCCTGTCTTCCTCTCGTGGGATTAGAGGAGGTCGGAACATGTGGCCTCCTTGACGTTTTTGCAGTGTGATAGACTTCTGGAGGGAGAAGAATGCCTCTAAAGAAGTGCAAAAGATACATTCACTCCAACATCAAGATTACCATGCCAAAATACCTTGCTATACACCAAAACAGTCACCTATGACAACTGATATCACATGCCAAGTCTAAACTAAATTCCAGCAGTCATGATTTGTAGCCCATTGATCAATATGCATAATTTCAAAGATCACCTTAATAAATGGCAATGATTCTTTTCTACCACATGCCAAGGTGAACATCACTCCTGGTACTGTTTACCTACTCCCATTCCTGAGTTCTAATCCAATGGTCAATACCTCTCCAACTCTCTACATATAGCTAAGTACAAAGCTCAGATGAAGCTAAAAGAGAATTTCACCATATAGGAGCAGTAACAGACTACGGAGATAGTTCCCCATGACTGGCATTAAAGTAGCCAGCTCCAAATTTTGTTCTCTCTATCAACAGGGAGACGATTTAAAGTTGGGGGTCCATCAGGGAAAAATGTAAGGTGGTCAATGAATGCCCCTTTACCTTCTTCTTGGATTTAAAGACATTACACCTGAAGATATTGCTGGCACCATCTCGAGCAATATAGCTGAAGATCTTCAAGTCTTGGGAATCATGAGAGACATAAAAGATCCTAGAGGAAGAGAAACAGAAAAAGGCACTGAAATGGCATTCGTTTAAAATCTCTAATGAGAAAATCTCTGTTTAAGAACACCTCTGGAGACAAAGTTCACTAAAGCCAACTATTAACGTTTTCTTCCCTGGAGATCAAAATGCCACAATGAAGGAGGTACTTTCAGTAGGCTCTATAAACAATAAACAAGTGACTTCCATATTTGGAAAAGTGAGCACGGATAGGGGATGGAACCCAGACTATTATTCATCTCCTGAGGTGACAAACCTGTCCTGGTAACTTATGTTTTAGAAGAAATAATTGTTACCATCCTTCCAAAAAAAGCAACCAAAAAAGCCCCCAGTTTCTGTTGAGTCAATTTCAACTCATGGCGACCCCATGTGTTTCAGGGTAGAACTGCATTCAATTGGGTTTTCATGGTTGTGACCATTCAGAAGCAGATGACCAGACCTTTCTTCAGAGGCACCTCTGGGTGGTTTAGAACTGCCAACCGTTTGGTTAGTAGCCTACTGCTTAACTGTTTGTACCAACCAGGGACTCCATGCCCATTCTTATCAGAGAAACAAATGTGTATCTAATCCAGGAAAATGTGGACACATTTCCTTATACCTGTTTCACAATTTTCCCCAAAAGAGGAAACCTGGGGAACCAGCAATGCTAACCATGCTGGGAGATATGAAAACATGAATTTCATTACCATAGGTCCCCTGGAGACAATGACGCCACTTCCCTTCCCCCTTCTATTAGGACCAGAGCTTCCATGTATTCATTCTGTCAGTCAGTCATCAGTTTTGATGGCTGATTTTGCAGAAATATACATTGCCAGGCCTTTCTTCTGAGGTACTGCAGGGTGGACATGAACCTCCAACCTTTTGATTAACAGCTGAGTACATTAACCATTTGCACCACCCGGAGACTCCTAGTATATATTGTGGACCAGCACCATCCAGGAGCTGGAGATACGGCTGGAACAAGACAGACAAAGCCCCTAAACTTATGGAACTTATATATAGAGGTTGTCAATAAACAAACAGAAAATAAGTGTGATGAAGAAAAATAAGGCCAAATAAGGAGATAGAGCATGACAGGGTGCTACTATAGATAAGGTGGTCAGGTAAGGCTCACAGAGAAGTAGGGACCTGAGTGATGTGAGGGAGCCAGTCTTGGAGATACGTGGGGAAAAGCATTCCAGGAATTTCAAATAGTAAGCTTAAATGCCCTGAGGTAGGTATGTGCACTCAAGGAACAGCCAGAAGGGCAGCATGGCTACAGTGGAGTAATAAAGTAGCTACAGGCAGAACACCATAAACCTTTAAGGCCATGATTTTTCACTAAAAATTAATGAGAAAGCTTTAGAGCAGAGGAATGACTCACTTATACCCTAAACTAAAGGATCACTTTGATCACGGGGTAGGGGAGAAGCTGGGGGTCCCTAAGCAGATGGGGGCAAGGGTAAAAGCAAAGGAAAAAGTTAGGTAAACAGGAAAAATTATAAGCCGTACTCTAGTGGCTGACTCTAAGGGAACCTAGACAGGACACCACCAGAATGCCAGGTCTGACAGTGAGAGCATTGCTCTTGATAAATACACCTAGGGTTTACACCATTTCCACAAAACATCTCAATAACACTGGCAACTTTCATGCAAGGATTTAACAGGCCTGATTTGTTTTAGTATAGTCAGAGCTGTGCAGTAGAAAGAGAATGAGTATAGGCTGTCTCCTACTTATGACGTGTTTGTTTTACTACAAATTACACTTAAAACTGTCTGCTTTTTTTATTATTATTATTTTCGTACATCTTATCGTTAGTAATACGTACTGCAGACACTGCTGCAGCATGTAACTTGTTTGTGTTAATCATTCTCAGATGTTCACTCACAGATTTTTCAATTTTATGATTTATTGCTGTATAGATTTTGTTTTCTAAACTAAATCAGGGGCTTCAGTTGCTTGAAAATACAAACCTAAACATGGATTGTTTTACTAAAGTCGATAGGGGGATTCAAGATGCAGTCAGATGTTACCGTGAAATATATGAAGAAGAAAAGAAAAGGACCATACAGACAACCCTCATTAATTTTCTGACTTAGGGATGCCACCCCCATTCCCAGGAATAATCCAGATGATCCAGAACCAGTTATTTCTGCCACTGACCAAACATCAACATTGTCCAATTAGTTGTCGTTGGAGCAAATTTTTGATTTGTGTATTTTTATGTATGTTGTTGTTGTTGTTATGTGTCATCGAGTCGACCCCGACTCATAGCGACCCCTCCTTGGGTTTCCGAGGCAGTATCACTACGGAAGTAGGATTGCCCAACCTTCCTTCCGAGGAGTGGCTGGTCGGTTTGAACCGCCAGCCGTCTACATGTATTAAAATATATTTGTAAGTGTAAATGTAATGTTTCCAACCCCGAAAGACAGACAAGAATGGATTTATAAAGATACTGATAACAAAAGGCACTAAAAATGGGAAAAAACAAATAAGGTATCTGACTAATGTCAGAATCAACTTACAATGGAGCCATTAGAATGGAACCTGTCATAAGTTGGGGACTATCTGTATAGAGTTGTATCTACAACTCTGCCACTTACTACCAAGAGAAGCTATGTAACCTCTCAGAGGCTCATTATTATCTGTGAAACGAACTGTTAATATTAACACCTTGAAATGTGATAACGAGTGAACTATTCTTTTATTTTATAGCCTTTAAATAGTCTAACAGCAAGATCCTCATCACCAGATCTCTCTGAGCATTCAAAAGAAAAGTGGGTAAACAGAGAACAAAAGTAGGAAGTAAACAAAGTTCACCATGGAGAACACATTTTCTCTGTGAAATCCTGTTGTCATTGCTGTTGAGTTGATTCCAACCCACAGTGAGCCCATATGTGCAGAGCAGAACTGCTCCAGAGGGTTTTCAAAGCAATGACCTTTCAGAAGTAGACTGCCAAGACTATCTTCCAAGGCTCCATCTGAACTCCCAACATTTTGGCTAGTAGCTGAGCACTTAACCATGTAAACCCCCAGGGACTCTGCTAGAAGTCATTTCACTAATCTAACATCTCTAAAAAGGAGCTCTGATGGCACAGTGGATAAGGTATTGGGCTGCTAACCAGAAGGTCAGTGGTTCAAACCCACCAGTCACTTTGCAGAAGGAAGATGGGACAATCTACTTCCATAAAGATTTACAGCCTCAGAAACCCAATGGGGGTCACTATGAGTCAGAATCAACTTGACGGGAGTGATTTTTGAGTTTTTGAACATATCTAAAAGGAGGTCTGGTGATATAATGGTTAAGGCATTTTACTGTTAGCCAGTAGGTTGGTAGTTTGAAGCCACCAGCTGCTCCATGGGAGAAAGAGTAGACAGTCTGCGCCCATAAAGATTGGTACTCTTCTCTTCAACTCTACATGACAGCCTTAGTTCACAGGGCTTTATTTTTCACCAGGATTTTAGTAACATCCTCTAAAAGGTCTGTCTCCCTGCTTTCTAGCTCACCTATTGCCAACCCATTCTCTACACTGCTGGCAAAGTGTTATTTTGAAAACACATGTTTTATCCCATTATATCCCTCTTAAAATTATCCTGAGGCTTCCTACTGCCCTCAGGATAAAGTCTAAAGTCCTCTGCATGAAGTATTTACCTTTCTGCTTTCATCTCTCTCCTGAGCTACACACAGCCCTTCAGAACTGGTATAAAATACCTTCCTGCCTTTGCAGCTGCTGTGAACAGCCTTACTAGCATCTTCAAGACTTGGTTGAGGGAAGCTTTCCCTGATCCCCTCAATCTGAGCTGTTGAACAACCTTGGGCTAACTTTCACCAAGCACATATCACCCAGTATGATGTTTATGCAGAACTCCTCGAAGGGACAAGGACCATATCTTGGCTCCCCAGAGCCAGGATAGTGATTGACATGTAGGAGGGTGTTTTGGGCCTGTTTAGGAAGGAGGGAGCCGTTGCTGCTGTCATTAATGATCATTTGTAATGTGGTCTGCCTGGCTATTCATTTTTCCCACGGGAAGCTGGGTTCAGTTGATTCAGATGCATCACACGTAAAACTCCTTTGATTTTTGTATTTTTAATTTATTATTATGTAATACTCCAAGGACCAAGCACTAGATTTAAAATGGATAAAGAGGATATGAATGAGAGCTGGCATGCCAATAAGACATAGTGATGTGGAAGGCAACAAGGACTGCGGCACACAAGCTAAGGTTAGCTTTACTTTGATAGACAAAGCCCCTTTTCAGCAAATCCAATGACAGCCGGGGCATAGCTGCGGCCACTCTCTTTAAACCGGAGCTCTCTGGAGACTGCTGTGCTATGTCTCAGTTCAGAAACTTAATGTGTTGTTACTACAAGTAAATAACCTCTAGATAAATACAAAGTTAGCTAGTTAGAGCTTAGAAAAGTTTCCATCGATGTGACCAAGAAGCAGAATGTTTTTCCATGTGACCTCATTCACCAACAAATTAAATTCCAGGTCTCAGATCCAAACTTTCAGATCTACAAATAGGTTCCAAGAACCTTTATTTCTATATTAATTGGGTTTCTTAAGAACTGTGACTATGTATGTGTATGTATGTAAGGGTAGGGGTGGGAGTTTGAGGAAGGAAGAGAAAGGTAAGGATTCAAGAGAATCAGGAAAGATTTCCCTCTCTCCCTCCTTCATCTTGATCCTCAAGTCTAGTGCAGTTCTGAGCCTGTTTCTAAAAAGGGTCTTGGTAAAAATTTTCAACATTCTGTAAAATTATCAAGAGTAGGATACCAGAGTAGTTTACACTGCCTACAGGTTGTTAATATGAATTACTAAGGTTTTAGTCCTCTTCAAATTTTCACAAAGTTCTTGTTTTTATTTCAAAGACAGAAAAAAACAAACCTACTGCCATCAAGTCAATTCCAACTCATAGTGACCCTCACTAGGTTTCCAAGGCTGTAAATCTTTATGGAAGCAGATTGCCTTATCTTCCTCCCACGAAGGAGCTGGTGATGGGTTTGA